GGTTCACTGGGGTTGGAGATGCCTAATAAATAATATCCTTCTTCCCTGCCTAAGTTCAAAACCAAAAGGGTGGAGGGAGGAGGGATGGGCAGGAAACATTCAGGAATCAGCTATCACTTTTATTTCTGATAAAACTGATTGGAGAATGTGACTGTAGATCCTGTGGGCAAATAGGCTTGCTAACACTTCACCTTGAATTACTCTCATTTACCCCATCCCTTGCACAGCTGGATAACTACAGGTTTCCCTCACAGGGTCTGCCAAGCTTTTTACCACACAAGTAGAGAGCAGACCAGAATACATCTTTTCAGTAGGCAAACATATCTAGAGTGGAAAGGATGGCGCTGAGCTAAGCATGCTTGACTCTTTTTTTCTAACTCACTCCTCCTCCTCTAGTGAGGAGTGGCTTAGAAGGGAAAGAGGCCAAGAGGTAACGAAGGTGCAGTTTTTTAAAATTACCATCTCTGTGAAGCTTTCTACCTGTCACCAGGTGCCATTCATATACACACACTACACTTGAATAAAGAAATAGTCTTTATTCTGTTCTACATCATCATTGTAACACTTAATTGTTATGATGTATTTTATGAATTTATCTCCCCTCTAGACTGTTGGCTCTTTTGTATTTTGTATATCTTTATATCCTTCTATGAATATTTAGCATGGGATCTAGCTTATAGTTGACATTTCATAACTATCCATTGAATGAGTGAATTTTAAACACTTATGTTATGCTTGCTTTTCCTAAGCCACATCTCTTGTCTTTCTTTCAGTTAGGACCTTAACATTATTTTGTTTTTTATTTTCAAGCTCAGAGTTTCTCGATGGTAGCTCTTCCAAAATAATTTTTATTTAGCAACTTTGTATCAGTTAATATTTTTGGCTCTGTCTTTGCTGAAGTATCAACTGTAATATCTAATCAGAACTCTGGCACTAAATTAGCCAATTATTAAACTAGTTAAATAGTTATAGTTTAAAAGCTTAAAGCGGGGCTGGCTCGGTGGTGCAGCTGTTAAGTGCGCACGTTCTACTTCAGCAGCCCAGGGTTCACTGGTTCAGATCCCAGGTGTGGACATGGCACCGCCTGGCAAGCCACGCTGTGATAGGCATCCCACATATAAAGTAGAGGAAGATGGGCATGGATGTTAGCTCAGGGCCAGTCTTCCTCAGCAAAAAGAGGAGGATTGGTAGCAGTTAGCTCAGGGCTAATCTTTCTCAAAAAAAAAAAACCTAAAAGCAACATTCTTTTAAGTCATCTTGTATTTTGTTACCATTAAGCAATGTTACTTTCTAAAGGTTAAAGAATTACTTAGGGAGAGAGTAAATTAACTGCCTAAAGGAAATCTACTGCACTAAGTACTGTGGTGCAGACAAGAGAGCTAGATGACAAGCCTATTACATTCAGGTGACTTAAAATCAAACTGAAGTCTGCCCTGACATGTAAGGAGCTTGGAAACTGACACTCCTATGTTCATAATAAGAAAAAGTTGAAATCAGAAAATTGGCAGCTTTTCTTAGATCCATCAGAAAATTGAAGTTACAGAGCAAATCACCACCTAGAGAAAAGCAAATACAGAGTCCCAGCTTCCCAGGAGAAACTACTGAGCCAGTAGCTGGGAGGAACACTGAGACCATGATTGATGAGCTGCTGGAGATTGAGTGTGGATTAGTTTGAGAGTTAAAACTCCTGGGGGCCCAGTCTTATTGGGACCCCTGCACTTTTGTTAATTTGACCTGCAGGGCCCACCAGGTTCTCATGGTGAAGATGGGAGGAGAAGCTCCCTGTGCTCTGGGCAGGGGAAGGGGAAAAGTAACCATTTTGAAACATGCCTGTAGTGTTCTGTTCTCCCTTACAGAGGCCTGTCCTCAAGGGAAACTACTTTACCAAAGCCTTGTCTGACCGGAGGATGGGTAGTTAGCCAACTTCAGCTACCTCTAGGCTTCCTGCCTCTCATAAGAGGGAACAAAAGGGCTAAGAAAATCTTCTGAAAGTCACAGTCCAGGGTTTCTGGCCCAATAAAACAATGGAGATATAATCATAAGATTGTAAACTGCTTCCCCTCCCCAAGGCCTCACCACCACATCAGTGGGAGTCCAGTGTATTAACAGTGGATTACACCTGAGAGATCCACACCCCAGAGACTGTTGAAGAAGAATTTCTAGGGAAACCCAAAGACAACTAGGCAGACAAAAACAAGGACACTGGAGGAAATTGATACCTACAGCTGCAGCAAACATTTAAACACAACGTAAGTCCTAGCCTGGTTAACATAAAACCTTATGCTAAAGACCTGTTTATCTCAGTTCTTGCTACCCAATACATCTTGGGTCTGACTTTCAAAAAACATTAGAAAGCATGCCGAAAGGCAGGAAAAATCGTAGTCAGAAGAGACAAAAGCAAGCGTCAGAACCATACTCAGATATGGCAGGGATTTAAAATAACTATCATTATTATGTTAAGAGCTCTAACAGAAAAAAAGTGGAATATGCAAGAATAGGTGAGCAGTGTAAACAGAGAGATGGAAACTCTAAGACAGAATCAAAAGGAAATGCTAGAAATCGAAGACATTGTAACAGAAGGAAAGAATGTCTTTGGATGGGCTCATCAGCAGACTGGACACAACTGAGGAAATCATCAGTGACCTTGAAGAGACGTCAATAGAAATCTCCCAAAACTGAAATGCAAAGAAAAAAAAAAAATGAAAATGAAAGTACAGCTTATCAAAATTTGTGGAAGATAGTGAAAGCAGTGCTTGGAGAGAAATTTACAGCATTGAATGTTTATATTAGAAAAGAAGAAAGACCTAAAATCAGTAATCTAAGCTTTCACTTTTGAAAACTAGACAAAGAACAGCAATATAAAATAAAGCAAGCAGAAGAGAAGAAATGAAAATTAGATTAGAAATTAATGAAATTAAAAACAGGAAAACAAAAGGATTAGCAAAAACAGAAACAAAGCTGATTCTTTTAAAATCAAACAGAGGGAAAAATTTCATACACTCAAACACTTAAATGATTGAACGCCAAGCTTCATTATAGATCAGAATTAGTGGAATAGCCAACAAGTTATTGGTGTGTGGGAGACAAGAGCACTGTGGCTGGCAGGTGTTGTTTTAGGGGAACACCTGAAACAACCGGCAGTGTACCTGCTACTATGTTGCCTTATTAAGAAAAACTTCCCACAAAGTAGACAAGAATCGTTCAGGTTTCTATAAGTTTTTTCTGGCCTTGTTAAGTAAATTGTTAATCTTTTCTTTCATACCACAAAACTCCTATGCCCTCCATATCTCAGATTTGAATTACTGTTGTAGTTTCTTAGCTAATGCATGCAGACAGTCCCCATATTTAGACCAGTCTCTTTTCTGTTCTCCATATATTCCAAGTTCATTTTCTGCCTCTGGCTTCTCAGCAACCACCAGCCATGTGAATTAATCATGCCTATCTCTGGTTTGCTATTTTGCCTTTTATATCCTTGAATTATTGTACTCATTACTTAGTGTGTACATGTCTTTTTCTTTGAAAAGGTCAAAGGCCAATTATTGTTGCATCTCAGCACCTGGCACTAAGATGGCAAATGATAGATGCACATAAATGTTTGTTGGATTGAATTGAGTACCTGCCCTGCCTACTTCCTCTTTATGAAATACCCTTACTTCTTTTTGCCTGTGCGAATTTTATCCCTCCTTTAGAACTCACCTATCTCGTGAAATCTTTCCTGCCTTGTATTCCACATTAATTTCCAAACTCTTAGTGTATCCATATGCTGCACCAAACAGTGAGCTGCAAGGAATCTGGAGTGATTATTTGAGTGTCACAAGCATTTATGTAGTATGTAAATTAGTACAGAAATGAAAAATTACTAATTAAGAGATTGAAAACAAGTATTTGCTCAGTACTTACTTGGTAATGTACTGTGCCAGTTTTTAATGGGACAAAGATGAATACTTCCTTCAAGGAGCTTATAGATTTATAGGGGTGGTAAGACACATAACAAGCAGGTAAGTAGTGAGTTTCTTAGGTGGTGTCTTTTGAGAGTTCACATTATGTCAGTTGGGAAGCTTGAGTGAAGCTTGTGGATTTGATGGCTATTTAAACCCCACAGTGTAGGCTTGATTGTTATTCTTGTCTTATTGACAAAAAAAGTGAGGCCCAGAGAAGTTAGGTATCTTGACCAGGGTCATAATGCTCAATAGTGATAGAGCTGAAATTTAAATCTAGTAAGTCTGCCTTCCAAATCTCTGTCTGTAAACACAACACCAAGACTTTAGAGGTCATACTAAGAATTAGCAACTTGGGTGTGGGCAGTAATGGAGTACAGCAGGCAAAGATGACATCGGAGGTCACCGGAATGATGTGATTGAGTCGGTGGTGGTGCCATTGGCAAGATGGGGAACACACGATAAGACATAGGAGTAGGAGGAAAAATAAGTTAATTTTGGGCAAACTGAGTTTTAGATACTGGTGGGAGGGACCCATAACAGTTAGAAGTATCAGTCTGGATATGAAAGGCAATTCAAAGTAGGAGAAACATAAATGGCCACAAAATGTAGGAGAGCATGTCTAACTTTTTACCAGAAGTCATGGAAATAAAAGTTAAGATAGGAGATGCCCTTTCCTACCTACTAGGTTGGCAAAAAACTAGAAATCACATACTAAATTTGTGAGAATATAGGGGGATAAGAATTTTATAGACAATTCTGAAAAATGCCTTTTTTTACGGTTGGTTTGTTCAAATCAGGATCCGGGCAAAGTCCACATTTTGCATTTCGTTGAATGTCCCTTAAGGAGTCTCTTTTAAGGAGTGTTTTTGTTTGTTTGTTTGCTTTTAATTGATTTTCCCTTTTCTCTTTTTTTGTAGGTTAGAACAGTCAGAGAGCCTTGAGGAGAACCAGCGGAGCCTCCTTCAGATGACTGAAAAGTTCTTCCACGCCATCATCAGTTCCTCCTCGGAATTCCCCCCTCAGCTTCGAAGTGTGTGCCACTGTCTATACCAGGTATGCTTACGGATAGAGATTACTGTTATTAATCCAGAACTAAATGTAAAAGAATGCTTTGTCAGAAACGGTTTTAGCTGCTGATAGTGGGTGGTCGATAATACTGAATCAATTTGGATGAGTAATATGTTAAGAATTGCTATTGGAATTGGCTTTGAAAGAAACTTAAATATTGCTTAAGAGCCTGTTTGAAGTATTTTGAGGGGGTACTTTAAAAATAATAAATTTTCCTTGCATCAGAAGCAGGTTTAAAATGCGCTGAATCTACAGGGTTTAATGGATATGGTTGAAATGAGATTTATGGAATCTTTTTTGGTTATCTTTTGCCTAAATTACTCATAGTGTCTTTCACATATGAGGGAAGTCTACTTCTTGCTTTTTGCATTGTGAAATGCTTGATCTATAATTTTGATTTCTTCATTAAGATGGAATGTTTTTGTGTCAGGTTGTCCCAGGACAGACTGATCTGTTTCTCTTATGTAGAGTGCTACTTATAAAATAGATGGCATCATCATTCAGATCGACTTACTGCACTTTCTGACACTAGCGCGGGAAGCAGTGCTTCTGAGTTCAGATGTCCCCAGTCATCCCCTGCTTGTTGAGGAAATTAGGTCTGTGTTCTTTTATGGCTTCCACTGCGTTTTTTGAGTTGCATATGCAGTTTTAGGAGCAATTTATTCATTCCAAGGGAGATGAATGCAAATCCACATTAGCCTGTTTAAACTCTGATTCTGGAAGAAACATTAGTGGACCTGGAGTTTGGGACAGGGGTGGACATAGGAAAAGAATTTATGCATTTACCAAAACCACGCCTTTGTGTCTCTTTCTTTGCAGAGTCATCCCCAGCCATTTGTTTTTTTAGCACAGGGTTTCCGTTGCTTAGAGACAAGATCAGTGAAATCACCATTTTAAAAAGCTGTTTAAGGCTTCATTTATTTATATCAGACAAAATAGACTTTAAACTAAAAATGGTGAAAAGAAAAAAAGAAGGTCATTATTTAAAAGAAGGTCATTATATAACAATAAAGGGGTCAATACATCAAGAAGATATAATAATTATAAATATTTATGCACCCAACATTGGAGCACCTAAATATATAAAGCAAAAACTTACAGAGCTAAAAGGAGAAATGAACAGTATACAATAATAGTTGGGGACTTTAATACCCCACTCTCAACAATAGATAGATCATCTAGAGAATCAATAAGCAAACAGCAGATTTGAGCAACATTATAGACCAAATGGACCTAACAGACATATTGGGAACATTCTGTCCAACAACAGCAGAATACGCATTCTTCTCAAGCACATGGGGAACATTTTCTAGGCTATACCATGTCTTAGGCCACAAAGAAGCCTTAGCAAATTCAAGAAGATTGAAATCATACCAAATATTTTCTCTGACCACAATGGCATGAACTAGAAATCAATAAAAGGAAGAAAACTGGAAAATTCAAGAGCACATGGAAATTAAACAATACTCTCCCTGAACAACCAGTGGGTCAAAGAAGAAATTAAAGGGGAAATAAAAATTCATTGAAACAAAAGAAAATGGAAACACAATATACCAGAACTTGTGGGATGCAGTGAAAGCAGTTCCAAGAGGGAGGTGTATAGTAATAAATGTTTACATTAAGAAGCAAGAAAGATCCTAAATGAGCAATCTAATTCTATGCCTTAAGGAACTAGAAAAAGAAGAGCAAACTGAGCCCAAAGTTAGCAAAGGAAAGGAAATAATAAAGATTAGAGTAGAAATAAATAGAGAACAGAAAGATAATAGAAAAGATTAACCAAACTAAGAGTTGGTTCATTGAAAGATAAAACAAATTTAACAAATCCCTAGCTAGACTAACCAAGGAAGAAAGAGAAAGGACCCAAATCAATAAAATTATGAATGAAAAAGGAGATATTATACGTGATACCACAGAAATTCAAAGGATCATAAGAGGCTGCTATGAGTAAGCTATACCCCAACAAACTGAACAACCTGAAGAAATGGAAAAATTCTTAGAAACATACAACTTACCAAGAGTGAGTCAGGAAGAAATAGAAAATCTGAATAGACCAGTTACTAGTAAGGTGATTGAATCAGTAATCAAAAATCTCCCAGCAAAGAAAAGCCCGGGACCAGATGGCTTCACTGGTGAATTTTACCAAACATTTAAAGAAGAATTAACACTGGTCCTTCTCAAACTCTTCCAAAATATTGAAGAGGTGAATACACTCCCAAACTCATTTTATAAGGCCAATATTATCCTGATACCAAAACCAGAAAAGCACACAACTAGAAAAGAAAACTATAGGCCAATACCCCTGATGAATATAGATGTAAAAATTCTCAATAAAAAATTAGCAAACTGAATTCACCTGCACATTAATTGGATCATTCACCATGATCGAGTGAGATTTATCCCTGGGATGAAAGGGTGGTTCACCACATGTAAATTAATCAATATGATACATCGCATTAATAAAATGAAAAGAATTATATGATCATTGTAATAGATGCAGAAAAAGCAGTTGACAAAATTCAACATCCATTCATGATAAAAACTCTTAACAAATTAGGCGTATAAGGAACATATCTTAACATAATAAAGGCCATATATGACAGGTCCACAGCTAACATCACACTCAATGGTGAAAGGTTGAAATTTCTCCTCCTAAGATCTGGAACAAGATAAGAGTGCCCACTCTCACCCCTCCTGTTCAATATAGTATTAGAAGTCCTAGCTAGAGCAATCAGGCAGGAAAAAAAAAGTAAAAGATATGAGAATTGGAAAGGAAGAAGTAAAATTATCTCTATTTGCAGATGACATGATTTTATATATAGAAAATCCTAAAGACAGAACTAAAAAACTGTTAGATCTGATCAATGAATTCAGTAGAGTTGCAGAGTATAAAATTAACATACAAAAATCAGTAGCATTTCTATACACTAACAATGAATTTTCTGAAGAAGAAATAAATCAATCCCATTGACATTAGCATCAAAAACAATGAGATACTTAGGAATGGATTTAAAGAGGTAAAAGATCTCTACTCTGAAAACTATGAGACATTGGTGAAAGAAATTGAAGAAGATACAAATAAATTGGAAATATCCTGTATTCATGGATTGGAAGAATTGCTATGTTAAAATGTCAGTACTGGGGCCGTCCCGGTGGCACAGCGGTTAAGTTCGCATGTTCCGCTTCTCCGCGGCCCAGGGTTCACCAGTTCGGATCCTGGGTGTGGACATGGCACCTCTTGGCAAAAAGCCGTGCTCTGGTAGGCGTCCCACGTATAAAAAAAGAAGTAGAGGAAGATGGACATGGATGTTAGCTCCGGGCTGGTCTCCCTCAGCAAAAAGAGGAGGATTGGCAGTAGTTAGCTCAGGACTAATCTTCCCCAAAACAAACAAACAAACAAACAAAAAACCATGTCACTACTACCAAAAGCCATCTAAAGATTCAATGCAATCCTTATCAAGATTGCAGTGGCACTTTTTTTTTTTACAGAAGAAGAAAAAGCACTCCTAAAATTTATATGGAATAGCAAAAGACCCCAAATAGCCAAAGAAATCTTGAAAAAGAACAAAGCGGTAGGCATCACACTTCCTGATTTCAAGCTATAGTCATCAAAACAATGTACTACTGGCATAAAAATAGACAGGTACACCAGTGGAATAGAATCGAGAGTCCAAAAATAAACCCAAGCTTATAAGGTCGACTAATATTTGACAGTGGAGCCAAGAATACTGAATGGAGAAAAGACAGTTTCTTCAATAACTGGTCCTGGGATAATTGGATATTCATATGTAAAAGAATGAAACTGGACCCATATCTTACACCACGCACAAAAGTTAACTGAAAATGGACTAAAGACTTAAATGTAAGTATGAATGTAAGACCTGAAACCATGAAATTCCTGGAAGAAAACATAGGAATAAAGCTCCTTGACTTGGGTCTTGGGAATGAGTTTTTGGACATGTCACCCAAAGCACAAGTAGCGAAAGCAAAAATAAACAAACAGGACTACATCAAACTAAAATGCTTCTGCACAACAAAAGAAAGAAACCATCAACAAGTGAAAAGACAACTTAGAGAATGGGAAAAAATATTTGCAAACCATATACCTGATAATGATTTAATATCCAAAATACATAAATAACTCATATAACTCATAACAAAAAACCAAATACCCCAATTAAAAAATGGGCAAAAGACTTGAATAGATATTTCTCCAAAAAGATCTACGAAAGGCCAACAGGTGCATGAAAAGATGCCCAATATCACTAGTCATTAGGGTAAGGCAAATTAAAACCACAGTGAGATATCACCTGACACCTGTTAGAATGGCCATCATCAAAAAGACAAGAGATGCTGGCATGGTTGTGGAGAAAAGGAACTCTTGTGTACTGTTGGTGGGATTGTAAATTGGTACTGCTACTATGGAAAACAGTATGAATGATCCTCAAAAACTTAAAAATAGAACTACCCTATGATCTAGTAATTCCACTCCTGGGACTATATCCAAAGGAAATGAAAACACTAACTCGAAAAAATATCTGCAACCGCATGTTCATAGCAGCATTATTTACAATAGCCAAGACATGGAAACAACCTAAATGTCCATCAATGGACGAATGGATAAAGTTGTGATATATATGTACAGGGACTATTATTCAGCCATAAAAAAATGAGGAAATCCTACCATTTGTGACAACATGAATAGACCTTGAAGGCATTAAGATAAGTGAAATGTCAGATAAGAAAGACAAATACTGTGTGATCTCACTTATATATGGAATCTAAAAAAACCCCAAAAAACCAGACAAACTCACAGATCAAACTTGTGGTTACCAGAGTTGGGAGTTGGGGGAGGGGGAATTGGAGGAAGGTGGTCAACAGTTACAAACTTCCAGTCATAAGATACATAAGTATCAGGATGTAATGTACAACATAAGGACTCTAACACTGCTGTATAATACATAGGAAAATTGTTGAGAGTTTCCCTCACAAGGAGAGAAAGTTTTTGTGTTTCTTTCTTGTCTATTTATTGTATCTATATGAAAAGATGGGTGTTAGCTGAACCTATTGTGGTAATCATTTCACAATATATGTGAATCAAACCATTATGCTATATGCCTTAAACTTATATAGTGAGGTATGTCAATTATTTCTCAATAAAACTGGAAAAAAAAGAGAATGTGTTTGTGTCAGGTTGTCCCAGGACAGACTGATCTGTTTCTCTTATGTAGAGTGCTACTTATAAAATAGATGGCATCATCATTCAGATCGACTTACTGCACTTTCTGACACTAGCGCGGGAAGCAGTGCTTCTGAGTTCACATGTCCCCAGTCATCCCCTGCTTGTTGAGGAAATTAGGTCTGTGTTCTTTTCTGGCTTCCACTGTGCTTTTTTGAGTTGCATATGCAGTTTCAGGAGCTGTTTATTCATTCCAACAGAGATGAATGCAAATCCACATTAGCCTGTTTAAACTCTGATTCTGGAAGAAAAAGTGGGCCTGGAGTTTGGGGAAGAGGTGGGCATAGTGGAAAGAATTTATGCATTTACCAAAACCATGCCTTTGTGTCTCTTTCTTTGCACAGTCATCCCCAGCCATTTGTTTTTTTAGCACAGGGTTGCGGTTGCTTAGAGACATGAGCAAGATCAGTGAAATCACCATTTAAAAAAAGCGGTTTCAGGCTGCTATGTGTGAATTTTTCCCTCATTGCTATTTATAAAGATATATCTACAAAAAAAACTTGTCACCATATACATAGATGATAAACCATACTTAGCATTAAAACTCTCTTAATTTATCATGACTTTTTCTGCCTTTTCAAAACAGCTCAAGGAAGCTTAGGAGAGCCCCACGTAATTTTTTAACTAGTTAAATCTGAGACTAGAGAGTGGCTTAGTTATAATATGAAACCTAGTAAAGTGAATAATATCTTCTCTTAAGTTTGGGCATTGTTCAGGTTTCTCTTTAAATCTAATTTAGTCATTATTCTGTTTATAAAGCTAGGCAACAAGAAATGGTGAGCACGTATTAAAAACAGTCTGCGTCAACTTCCTGGTTGGCCTGGTACTAACTGTTTGCAGAGAGCAGATGGATTGCTAAAGTAGCAGTGGCTTTGACTTTAGCTGGTTAAAAGTGAATGGGTACCGACTACCTGATTTTACATGGTCTAGTCGATTTTCGTAGAAATTCATGTGGTTGTCACCCTAAAAGAAAAAATTATTTTTGTATCATCAGTAAACTTGGAGTCCAGTCTGAGACAATGATTCTGATAAGGTAAAAGGAGCAGGGCTTGGCTCTTAGTAAGTACTTAGGAAATATTTAATGAAGGAATAAATTCCCCCATTCCTCCCACCCAAGTACACAAGAGTCTTGCTAGCTTTTATAGTGAGAAAGGCAGGGAGGTTGTGAAAATAATTCAGAAAATAGAGTCAGGTGATAATTGGTGGCTTATTAAACACTATGTGTTGTGCATTTTAAAGTACTCTATAATTTAAAAAAAAGTGTATAAAGCTGCATTTTTGTGATATATGTGGTTACTAGTGCCTTTATATATAGTCTAAAGTTTGAACCAAAGCTCCATGGGAAAAGGACTGTGTCTTGTTTTACTGCTGTCTCTCCCAATGCCTAGAATGGTATCTAGCATGTAGTTGCACAGTAACTACTTGGACGGACAGGTGGATGAACAAATGTCGAACTTTTAACTTAAACCCAAGTTATTATGGGCTATAGTGTTGGGTGCACCGAATACCTAGAATAAAATGCCATGTATGGTGGATTAAGGAATTCTAATTTGGTTTTAAAAATAATTGTTGTGCTTAGTCTAGTCCAATCAGGAGTCTTTTAATTTTAAAAGAATTCTTTGGCCTAGAAGGAGCTCTGAGAGATGAAACCAATATGTCTCTGTGGGTTTTGGGAGGTTTTGGGGGGTTTTTCTTTTCTTTTTTTGAGATATTCTGATAGATTGTCAAATATGTGAAAAATTTTAAGCAGGATGACAGTTTTATTCTATAATTTTCTCTGCAGTTTCTTCACTTTAATATTAATTAATGCTTATTTCTAGTTGAGCTGATAACATTCTTCTCCCAAATGTTGCAGAGCTTTTAACCTCCTTTGATTAGAATTTCTTCAGGAAGTAGCTTGCAAACAGAAAAATGTGTGACATTTAAAGAGTAATCTTTCTTAGAGAGATTTTTAATTCAGAATCTCTAAAGTGAAATTTTCTATTAGATTTAGCCATTTAATGTTTATTTTTTTAATTAGTAGGATCTAAATTAAATGCCAGCTGTTGAAAAAAGAACTGTAAGTCAATTGAAGGATACACAGAGAAGTATTTAAATATCAAGAAAAAGTGATGTAGACACATAGAAGTGTTTTTAGTGTGTGATCTACTTGTCATGAACGTTTTATATAAAATTTATCAAAAACTAGGAATTAACTGAAATGTAAAATTGAATATCCTCAAAATCACTTGGGGAGAGCTTTTCTGTGATTTATAGCCAGAAATAGTAGATATGATTGTCTCAACATTTCTTGCTGTTTATTTAGTGCTTTGGCTTAAAATTGTAATAAAAATTAAAGTCCAGAAATAAAATTCATCCCTCAAAATTCGGTTGATTTCTAATTTTTTGTTGATTCCATTTGTGTTGCATTTGATCGTGTAGTTTTGTGTACAAGCCAACATTGTTTTTGTTGCTGTATGTAGTTGGTGCCGTGACCTGTTTGTGCTCATCTCTGTTCTGTAGGCAACTTGCCACTCCCTACTGAATACAGCTACAGTAAAAGAAAAAAAGGAAAACAAAAAATCAGTAAGTTTGGAGAACTTTTTATTGGCTGTTTCTCTCAAAGCAAAACAAAAATCCTTTGCTGTTTGTTCCGATCGTCTTCACTTCAGCCTATTTGACCTTCACTGTGAGGTCATTCTACTAATTCTGGCACAAAAGAGCTTCCACTGCGATTAACCCTGGAATTAAGTTCCATTGAAACATTCTCTGTGTTCCTTTGGTTGGTTCCTTTGGTTGCATCCCAAAGGCATTTTGGGGCTTTTGTTACATTGGATATCCCTGGTCTAATTTTGTTATTGTTATTTTAAAAATGATAAATGAATGCAAAAGAAACTTAATTTCAAGGCCTTAGGAAATGCTGACTCTTCATTCTTGCTGCTTGTTTGCAGGTAATGTGAGTGGTTTCTTTTCCTAGAGGTGAAAGTTTTCCTAAATTGTCAGAAGTATAAGGAGGAAAAGTGACACTTCCTAAGTCTCACCTAAAAGTTGCTAAATTTTACTTTTTACTCCTTATATTTTTATCTAGACAATTTCAGCCAGAATTTAGGTATTTTTGCTTAGATTATAAAAATCCTAATGGTTAAACCACTTTTACCTTACAGAAAATCATTATTAAATAAATGATTGGGACTGAGAAGAGAGTACTTTTGAAATAAAGGAAAACTTAGCAAGTCCATATTTGTAGAGAAACACTTCCTTTTGCAAACATGATATGAATGTACTGCCTGCTTCTATGAACTTACCCTAATTTAAAAGGAAGAAAATTATGGTAATCATAATTATTTTCTTCCTGTGAGTGGAATTTGTCCAAAATATGACATATATTTATTTTAAATTTGCCACTATCTGTCAGTATGTCTTATCCTTACCAGGCTGAGTACTATCTTTGTTCATATAATCCAAATGATTTTAGAGAAAGATGTAAGGAAAACCTCTAGGAGTCATGTAGATAGTTTACTTAAAAAGGTGTAATTTAGAATACAGTCATGCACTGCGTAACAACATTTCAGTCAAACGAAGTCAACAACAGACTGCATGTCCGACAGTGGTCCCATAAGATGATGTATCATATAGTCGAGCTGTGTAGTCTGTACTATCTAGATTTGTGTTAAGTACACTCTGTGATGTTCGCACAATGATGAAATTGCCTATTGACACATTTCTCAGATTGTATCCCTCTTGTTAAGCAATGCCTGACTGTATAGTATTCATCTGGTTTCATCTTTCATTCCTTGTCTAAGCTTTACATATAATAAATTTCTGTTTTAAATTAAGAACTGAATTAAAATTTAGAGACATATGCTTTTGTGTCCATTCAAGATTTTCTTTTTGAGAATGTTAAGTAAATTTGGTCAGCTGTGAGCAAATGGATTGGATTGGGTGGCCATCTTGCTTAATAAAAACATTCTTTCTAATGCTTCAGCCTTCTAATTCTCAGCATATTATGTGGGTTTAACGTAATACACACCATCACTGTTGAAATTAATTTACTGTGTCTAACACTCTCGTTCAGTGTTTTACTAATGCCATTGTGTAGTGAATCACATAAATTAAAATTCAGGCTTTCTGTGTTTCTCTAGAGCATGTTTTCCAGCCTTCCTAACATTGCTTTATTTATTAAGATTTTGTCTAAAATTGTTCCTTGAAATGTTTTTTTCTACTAGTGTTATTTTTAGTTTTTTTTTAAGTTTCTGGGTAACACTAAGTTTTGGAATGTATTTCTCAGCACAGGTCCTCATGGAAACAAAGAATCTAATTGGTAACTTGAGATATTTTAGAACACGTTCCAAAGTATGAAGATAGTATAGTCATTATAAATTTAAAATGTTGGTTTATGGAGTTGTTGGCTTAACAGAATCTAATGATCTTTTCTTTTAAAAGCAAGGTAACTTTCTTTTGGGGTTTGTATGTCATAGATTGGAATATGTAAAACATATAGAGAAGGTTCTGGTGTATGGCCGTATAGTCATATTACAGATAATTCTGTTTATTATACTCAAACGTATAATGTATACCTAATCTCCTTTGAGAAGTTAATTGGCTGCCAAACTCAGGTAATTAAGCGTGTATGGGTAGTGATCCTTGTGCTGATGTATGGTTTATAAGGCAGTTTTTAATCTTCTTCCTTCTTGCTAATTCACTCCTTAAAGGCTTTCAAGTGTTATAGGTTTGTTGACATGTTTCTTCTGTTTTAAGATTAAAATTTGGGAGTTCTAAAAGAACCACTCAGTAGTAGCAATGGTGATCTATGAACGTCCTGAAATTGGATGAAGAATTTTGTCATTGTGAATGTATATGCTCATTTTTCTGTTCCTGGTCCTAAAAAGGTTAAACACTGTACTAGAGTAGTAAAAGCACTTGAATTTTTAAAATTCTATTCCTAAAACTGTATTTCAGCTAAAAATAACTCTAAGTCACTATTTAGGTTTTAAAGCCGTTCTACTAAGGCTGCCATATTTAGCCGCACTCACCAGTTTCCCCTTATTTAAGTGTAAAGTTGTTCTTCATTCAATAGCAGTCAAAGTACTATTGCACAGAGAAAGCTCCCTGAGATACCTGGGTGAAATGAAGGTGAGAAGATACGAGTTATAACTCACTGCTGTTATCACCTCCTACAAAGATTGTCTTTGGCTTAAAAAAATCGTTCTCTAAAGTCTTGTTTTTACTAGTTCCCTATCAGATATTATAGAACATTATTTTGAGATTTTAGGCCGTGAATAAGAACACAGTTAAAATGTATACCCCATGAAGCACTAAAGGGAGTAGAAGAAATGAAGTAATCCTTATTCTTTCTAGAGTTAATCTGGAGTCAGTGAGCCGTGGGAATTCATGACAAGAAGTATCACTTTATTGAGGCATCGTGAGGAAAACCAGAGTTACATGAGATTCTGCACATACATCCCTTTTTTCCCCAGGATCTTGAGAAATGCAGGTTTCTCCCTGGAATCCCAGAATGTGGAGTGAAGTGCTGTGGCTTTGCCGTTATGGTCACCGCTGCTTTAAGCAGCACTTAGCCACACTAAGCAAGAACAGTTGTAGAGATTAAAATGTTACATAAGTGTTGCCTAAAAATAAATGTATCTGTGTAGTGTATGTAAAAAATGTAAATTTCAGAATAAGATGATTTTCATATGTTAACTTAAAACAGGAGGCACTGGGAAGAGACGGGAGCTGAGCCAGTTTCAGAACACTTTTCCTGATCTCATTTACCTATTTCTTTACCTTCAGAGTAGAATGTTTTGCAAAGATAAAATAAATCCATTTTCAATATTGGGCTCACATATCTTTTGAGTGTGGGCAACCATTTCTTGAATCCTTAACTTTTTTTGACAGAATGATAAACTGAGGTACACATAGGATTTCTCTCTCCTGCTGGTGGGATCCTTTTTTCTTTTACTTTCCCAAGAATTCCCATTCCTCTATGGTTTAAATAATAGTTAGATCCTTGTATCATAAAGCATTTTTATAAAGAAAAGTAACTGACAGTAATCTTACTTGTAAGTAAGTTTTTTCTCTTGATAGGAATCTAAGAAAACTAAGTTTTGTTTTGTATCTGGCAAGCATTTTGCTCAAGAAATTCAATTGTACCTGGTACACAACAAAATGTAAGTATTTACTATTAGGTATAGGTATAGGATGTTTCAAGGGTTGAAAACTTAGCTTCACCTTATAAGGGTTGACCACACTCTCATGTCTATTAATCATAGTAAAATATGATAATCTTTGTGTGAAAATTCTAGTCTTCTTTTGTTACTCATCAAACCGAAAGTATAAATGATGATAAAATTGATACCTTTTTTCAGATCTATACAACTCCTTCATGAGATTTTTTTTTCCTTAGATACCTTTATTGTGCTTGAAAATGATGGAGGGCAGGAACTGAGGATAAACTGTTTTTGCTGATATATGGGAATAGGAAAAAATAGAAATGTGTTGTCGTGAGTTTATTCAGAGTTTTTGTGCAAAGTTTGACCTTCAAGCTCTTTCTTCCCTTTTCCTCGTTTTAATTTAAACCATATACTCAATTCTCAACTCCTTGTTTTTAGGTGGTTAGCCAGCGTTTCCCTCAGAACAGCATCGGTGCAGTGGGAAGTGCCATGTTCCTCAGATTCATCAATCCTGCCATCGTCTCACCGTATGAAGCAGGCATTTTAGATAAAAAGCCACCACCTAGAATCGAAAGGGGCTTGAAGTTAATGTCAAAGGTGAAAATTTATTTTGATAAACTAACAATTTTAAATTTCTCTTCCAACTAAATTTTCAGTTTTTCTTATTCACTGTACTTCCTCTTGAATTTATTTTTGAAATGCCCTATGGTCTTATACTTTTGTTTTATTTCTATTTATTTATATTACAAAGGAATTCATTAGGCTGATATCTGGTGGGCCTTATTATCATGGGAAAATATTTTAGCAAATGTCTTCTGAGGGTAGTTTTCTATGTGATCATTCTTGAAATTCTGAAATAAAGACCAAAATGTATGATTTTTTATTTAAAAAGACAAATTTTAATATGGATTTTTATATATGGTCATGCATTGCTTAATGACAGGGATATGTTCTGAGAAGTGTGTTGTTGGACGATTTCAACCCTGTGTTAACATCATAGGGTATACTTAGACAAACCTAGATGGTACAGCCCTCTCCACATCTAGGCTGTCTGGCACTAATCCTATGGACCACATATGCGGCCCCTCGTTGACCGAAACGTTGTTATGTAGTGCAAGACTGTATATGTAATATATGTGTGTGTATATATAAGAATCCTATTTGGGAAAGAATAGAAACAGCAATTAGTATTTATAGAATGAAGAATGATTGCTTT